TGCAGCACACGTGACGCCTACTGAGGGCACAGCCAGGGGCTGAAATGCAGCCTGGATTTGTTCACCATGGTGGCACTTTAAGCAGCAAGAGGGAGGGGTATTGTCCTGGTTCTTTAAAATTAATTAATTAATTAATTATTTAATCTTTATTGTATTTTTTCCATTACCAGTTAGTCCCCTTACACCCCTCTCCCCAGCAATCGCCACACTGTGGTCCATGTCCGTGAGTCCTTTCTCTTTTTGCTCAGTCCCTCCACCCCCTAACTGCCCCCCACCCAGTTCTCCATCTTTACAATCCCATGCGATGAAGAATCGACCCTCCATCTATAAGTCTGTGTCTGTTTTGCTTGTTAGTTCAGTTTGCTCGTTGGATTCCACATGTGAGTAAAATCATCTAATTCACACAAAACTTCTAATATGTTGATGTAGCCCTAACACAAATATGCTCTTAAGATTTTTTCTCCTCTTTTATTTCAAAAGTAGATAGCTCTATTCCTGTTCTAGTCACTTGACGTGCTCCAATGAATAAATATTATTTATATAATATACTAACAGTGCTATTATACTGCATAGTCCTTAATAGGCAAATTAACCTTTATTTTGAACATGCGCTCATAGTTATTAGTAAGACAGGTGTCATTCCATTTGGGTTGTTACAACAAAATACCACAGGTTGGCCCTGGCCAGGACTTCAGTTAGTTAGATCATAACAAGGTTGTGGGTTCGATACCTCATCAGGGTATGTACAAGAATCAATCAATGAACACATAAAGAAGTAATACAAACGATCAACACTTCTCTCTCTCTCCCCCACCCCTCTCCCTCTAAAAACAATAAATTAAAAAAAAACTACGGACTGAAAGCCTTATTGATAGAGCAGGCAGTTAGACAAGCATACACAAAGCAGAAACGATAGGCCAGGTATGAAATGTCACCAGGGTGGAAAGTCCCAGCTGCCTGGCAACAGACAAAGCTACTGACAACAACAATTATCGGCTACAACCTTACCCCTGGGGTGAATTTTCCTCCCCTAGCATGTCATTAGTCATGTAGCTTAGACCACGTAGAGGAGGAATGAGGGGGCCAGAGTTTAGCCTCATAGAACCCCCTACAAGCTTTTGCATGACCACTTTTTTAAGCATTAAGCCCCAGGACAATGAGGTTCTGATCAACATCAAGTAATCTTAGGAACAAGGCCTCAGGTCTGTTGCCACAGTGACAGAGTCTTGGTCAAACTAGAGATGACATCTAGGCCTCAGGTGTGTTTCAGCCCCAGGCCCAGAGGAGCAGCAAAATCAGATGACACAAACCATGGCTGACGTCAGGACCAGATGCAATGACTAATCAGCCCCTGCCCTACCGCTGACTAATTAGTAGAAATCATGACCCTGAAAGGACACACCTGAAAAGCTGACAAATTTCTATTGAGATCCTCCCCTCAAATGCCGGCCTTTAGGGGAAAAAAGCCTTAAGGCAAGGGGACCAGTGTGCACACAGCTCTAGAATCTAGAGTCCAGATCCTGTCTGCCTTTCCCTTCCTTGTTTCCCCAAATGTGTATTTTTGCTTTCTTTTTCCTTGGCTCCAAGGTCCTTCTTTTGCCTCTGTAACTTGTTCACTGAGGCCATGCTGCCCAGCTGGCTCATTTCTTCTGCCTCTGAGACTTTCTTTATAAAAGGCTAAATAAACTTATTGCACTAGAGTTCTTGGCTCTGAATTCTGTCTTTGCCAAACTCAAGACCTGAGGTCTAACATCGCCACCAACACTATAAACAACAAAAATGTCTCTCTCATAGTTCCGGAGGCTGAAAGTCTGAGATCAGGACGCCAGCATGATCAGGTGAATCCTCTCTCCAGCTGCAAATCCTTCTTTATATTCTCACATGGCAGAAGGGGCAAGGGATCTATTTTCTCTTTTGTGAGTCACTAACAACATTCATGAGGTCTCTTCCTCATGACCAAATCCTCTTGCAAAAGCCTCACCTCACCTTATATTTATAAGCCTACTGAAGGACAGAAAAACTGAACAAAACCTCTTCTTTTCTGTCCTTTAAAAAACACTTTTGCTTTATGACTGGACTTATTTTTTCTCAAGGTCACTAAATACAACCAAATTATATTATCTTCAAACTTTTGAAATAATCTTAGAGTATTTTTTAGTATTTGGGGGTTGTGGGTATATTTATCACCAAGTGTGGGCAGATCAGTAAGGGAAACAGCATTTGCCAAATACCAAAAATATAAGATCAATAGATATTAACCTACAGACAACACAACAAGGTTATGGTCACATTTGACGTACCCAGTCATTTATGCCAACTGAATGAGCTTTTTTAAAGCTCACTGACAAAACTTAATAATTCATCTAAATTTACCTGTGTATTTTGAGTGTTTACTGTGTACCAGACTCTGGTGAAACTGATAATGAATCCTTACCAAAATCTCTTTGCATAGAAGCATCAATGAAGATGAAGGAATGCAATCCCGACTCAGTAAGCAGATGGACATTAGGTGCCTTCTCTGTCAGGGGGCACTGCTGCACAAGCCACACCTCATTCTGTTCTTTCTAGAGACAATGTACATACTCGAGTCAAACCAGAATCCCAGCATCTTTCAGAGAGAGATGTGCTCTATTTGTTTATTCATTCATTTTCAATGAATGTTTTAATATTTCTATACTCCAAGCTATGTATTTTTTCTGGCATTTAAGATAATACAAGCATAAATATGAGGTTTAAAAGATTCCTCCAAAATCCAATCTGCTTTTAAGTGAAAACATTTGTTTAAAGATTTTATTTATTTTATTTTTAGACAAGGAAGAGAAGGAGAAAGAGAGGGAGAGAAGCATCAATGTGTGGTTGTCCCTCACACATACTCCCCACTGAGGACCTGGCCTGAAACCCAGGCATGAGCCCTGACTGGGAATCAAACTGGCAACCCTTTGGTTTGAAGCCCACGCTCAATCCACTGAGCTATACCAGCCAGGCTGACGTGAAATTTGTTGTTACTATTCACACTTTTCCTATTATGTATTTTGTCAAAGTAAAAACAATGTTTTATGTGGTGTATATGAGGTTTGTCCAGGAAAATGGCCAGCCATTATTAATATAAACAGAATTGTTTGTGCAACATCAATGTAACCTGGCAGCCAAGGATAGTGGGCTGGAACGTGCATGCACGAACAATGATGACTTCACTGTACTAGTCAATGAGGACGGTAGATACTATTAAGTGAGCATGTGCACTGTGTGGCCGTTGTGTTTAAAATGACTGAACAAGTAGAGCAACAAATCTCCATCGAATTTTTATTAAGGTTGAACATCCCTCCATGGAAACTATTCAGGAGATTCAGAAGGCTGCAACGATGGGCAACTGGTATTGGCAGCTTCATCACAACAATGCTCATGTATCACAAGTGGTGCAGAGTTTTTTGGTGAAACATCAAATCACCCAGGTGACTTAGCACCCCTTACCCCAGCCCTGATTTGGCATCCTGCAACTTCTGGCTTTTCCCAAAACTAAAATCACCTTTGAAGGAGAAGAGATTTAAGATTGTTGATGAGATTCAGGAAAATATGGTGGAGAAGCTGATGGTGATTGGGAGAACTGTGTGAGGTCTCAAGATGCCTACTTTGAAGGGGACTGAGGTGTCATTGTATGTGCTACAATGTTTCTTCTATCTTGCAGCATTGTCAATAAGTGTCTCTGTTTTTCATATTATGGGGCTGGGTACCTTCTGGACCGACCTTATATATTTAAAGATAAATATAACATAATTGACATATTAAACATATACACACATTTTATAATGAATTGCATCACTGTTATTTTCACAACAGTAATATGAAATGCGTTGCTGAAGATACTACTTGTATTTTCAAGAGAGGTAGTTTTAAAGATTTAGGTTAATTATGTGAACTTCCAAATTTACTTATATATAATTTTTTAAGTCAGTGGAGGAATAAAATTACATAGTGTGTGAGAACACTGGTAAAAACTGTAAGGGAAATAACTATGACAGTAAAGTCTCAATGACAGTAGGAACTACAAAGTGGTAAAATTAAAAGAAGTTTAATAGGCTCCAGGAGACTAAAAATGTTTGCACTCTTAATCTATTACCTATTCTTATTATGCCTGAATTTTGTCTTTACATGGTTCCTTACATACACACACATAATATTTAGCCTCATGTGTAGGCTAGCAAAGATTCTAATAATTTTAATATATAAAGCAATATATTCTATAATGTTATACTATAATTATTATGTTAATGTTATATATTAAACACACACACATATATATGTATGTATATGTATATATCTGTGTTGTTGTCCTATGAGTGTATGGTTTTTCTTCATATCCTCCTGGGGCTATTTTTTCTGCTTTGAATGTTTTTTCCTTCAATGATACCTTTTCCCTCCAGTTTTATTAAGAAATAATAGACATATATCACAGTATAATTTTAAGGTGTGCAGCATGATGATTTGATTTACATGCATTGTGAAGTGATTTCCACAATAGGTTCAGCTAATAAACATTTATCATATAGATAACATGAAAAGAAAGAAAAAAACTATGCTTATGATGAGAACTCTTAGAATTTACTCATTAACAACTTCACTATCTATCATACAGCAGTGTTAGCTACAGCCACCACGTGGTACACTATGTCCCTAGCATTTATTTATCGTATAACTAGAAATATATGCCTTTTGTTCTCCTTCCTCCAATTCCATCCTTCTCTTACCCTCTGCCTCTGCTACACAAGTCTGATTTTTTTACATTAGTTTGGGGTTTTCTTTGTTTGCTTGTTTTTAGGTTCTACATTAAAGTGAGGTCATACATACCCTTTGTGTCTTTCTTTGTCTGGCATGTTTCACTTAACATGATGCCTTCAAGATCCATACATATTGTGGGGAATGTAGGGTTTCCTTGTTTATTTTTTCAATAGCTGAACTATATTCCATTGTATATATGTACCACAGCTTCTTTATCCATCTGTATATGTCTGGACATATAGGGTTTTTTTTCTTTCTTTTTCTGTTTTTTGGGGGCAGCAGGGAGGGCATGTGTTCACTCTGCCTCCTTTTTCTGTACAGGCAGTGCAAGAACACAGCCTGTGGTAAGTACTGGGAGGCCACGTAGGTTGTTTTTATATACTGGCTATTGTAAGTAATGCAACCATAAACATGGGGGCACAGATATCTTTTCAAGTTAGTGTTTTCATTTCCTTTGGATATATTTCCAGAAGTGGAATTGCTATATTATATGGTAGTTTTATTTTTTAATTTTATGAGGAAACCCTGTACTGTTTTTCATAGCAGCTGTACCAAGCTACAATCCCACGCAGAGTGTGCCAGGGTTCCCTTTTCTCCACATTCACGCCAGTCTTAGCTGTCGCTTGCCTTTTCAATGATGGTAATTCTAACAGGTGTAAAGTCATATGTCATTGTCATTTTAATTTTAATTTTCATTCTCTTAATGAGTTGTGATGTTGAGCATCTTTTCATGTGCCTGTGGTCTTTTGTATATTTTCTTTCTTTCAACGATAATTCCTTTCTTTCACTGGGCTAATTCCAATTCATCCTTTTGGACTCACCTGAGGCATCAACATTCTAAGAGCTCTCTTAGATCACCTGTGTTACTCAGCTGGGGCTGCCGTTACAGAATACCACATACTGAGTGGCTTTAGCAACAGAATTTTGTTTGTTTGTTTGTTTGTTTGTTTGTTTTTACTGTAACCCCTGTGTCTCCACTCAACAGCCTGCTCTCTTTGAAAGCTGTAAGTAGGAATCTGCCCAGTGTCAATGGGTTATGTCTCACCATCAAAACCCCCCCTTAAATATTACAAAACAAAGCCATCTGTTATTTATAGTAGTTAAAAATAATTAAGAAATTGAGGAAAAAATAAAAAGAAATGAAATAAAAATAAAATACAGGAAAAGATAAGAAATGAACAAATGAAGAAGCTATTGAATCATGTTTTCCATGTATACAAGAATTTGGTGTATTGTGCTTTACATAAATATTTAATTATCTTTACTAACTATGAGTGATGACATTGACACACAATTTCTAACATATAGCAGGTCTCACCCTATTTTGTGAGTTAATGAATTCGGTCTTCATCACTCAGTCTTCGTATAGCCCATAAAATTCATTGAGAAATTTAATCAAATAGTGTAGTCTATGAACAGGTGTACATAACAAACTTACAGTTTCTGCTTAAACTACAATAAGCATATAAAGAAGTATTTGCTTGGTATCTCAATTTTCACTACTGAGAAAATGAGTCAAGTAGCATGCAAATAAAAGAGCAGCCACCAAAGGCAGCTGGGGGGGACCATGCCATTGTTTACTCTCTTTATGTTTACAAGGGGGGAAATTCTGATACAAGTCATTACTGAAATAGCTTTTTCAGGGCACCATTTGTTAACCTGGCATATTCTAGAATGTAAATTCCATAAAGTAAGTTTCATAACCACAAGACCTTTGAATAATATCTCATGCATAGTAAGTGCCGATGAATATACAGTGAAAGAATGAATCCCAAATGTTGACGTATTCTGTTTATATTACAATATAATAGACTAGAAGCCTTTAAATAGGTTACGGTGTGTATAGTTGCTTTTGTTGTTGTTGTTTAAACTGGTTTTAAGAATTAGTGTTTATTGGTTCCAAATAGGAAGCTCGAAAAAATATCAGTATAATAATAAACACTGTAAATAGTGACACATCCTTCTTCTCTGGGAACCATTGGAAGCCAGAGATAGAGGAAAAAATCAATGCCTTTTAGAAGTCTCTTTCTAAAGCAAATCAGAACTTGATGATGTGAATTGTGAAATCAGCACTACTGCAGCAACTTGCATTTTTGTAAAAAGGCATTTTGGAGATTACACCATGTTTCTCTAGTTAGGAAGGAGATTGCTGAGACAACTCTGGTGAAATGGGCCTATTTATTTCTTCAACTACTTTCTGTATTCTGTTTCTATAGACTCTTCAAGTTATCATTTGAATTTTCCTCAACTGGTTTTCAAACCATGTAAAAAACAGCCTTCTAGGACTTTGTGGGCAAAATATTAGGTTCCCTAAGACAGAGTCACACTTGTCAAGGGTCCATGGGAAATGGCCTCACTGAGGCACCTAGCTGTTCCAGGTCCATCTGCAGACCATATGCTTTTCTTCATATGTTCAAAAAGCTTGAGGGCTCTCTCTTCCTTTCTTATGCTTGACTTCCTCAACCAGTATCTCTGTAAAATGGCATAGCTTTTAATTCTACACATCTAGTGAGAATGTGTTAAAGAAATGTTTCATCACAATGGGCTATTGCACTAGCCTCTTAACTGATCATTTTTCTCTCAGTCTTACAAAAGTGAATCTTGCATGGTTTTCCTCATGACAAATTAATCTTCCTAAATTATTTTTAATCATGTTCATTGCTTACTAAATTATTCTTTCAATGACTCCCATTTTCCAAAGATCAAATTCCAAACTGCTGACCTGAGAGGGGGAAAGCCTGATGTACTTTTAATTCTCTAAGAGCTTCATGAAAATACTGCTACCAAAGTCTTAGCCGTGTGTGTGCCTTTTCTTGCACCCCTCTGTAACTGATTTCTGCTTAACTCCAGAATTCAACTCAATTCTTACCTCCTATATGGAAGCTTTTCACCTCAGCCTCCAATGGTCACTCTCTATTCTGAAATTATGGCTAACTTTTAGAACTATACCATGTACTTGCTTATTATACTGTCTTGTTACTGGTTCATCACTGGTTCTATGTTTTGCCTTCTTATCATTACCAATAATCATGACTCTTCATATCTGTCCTCTCATCACCCTGTACCTCATTCCAGTTCAACAACTCCATTTCCTCCATCCCAGTAAATAGTTCCTTAGCCTGAAAAGGTCCTCAATGCAATGTTTCAATATCTACTCTCCCTCACATTCCTTTTCTTGGCTCTTAGACTGCTATACCAACTACTTTGTGAATATCTTTAAATCAGGGGTGTCAAACTCATTTTTGCCAGGGGCCACATCAGCCTTGCAGTTGCTGTCAAAGGGCCAAATGTAATTTTAGGACTGTATACATGTAACTACTTCTTAACAGTTAAGTGAGAGCTTGGCACTGCCACTAGGTATAGACAAGGAGCCAGGCCAGATAAACAAGGTGAAGAGCCGGATCTGGCCCACGGGCCTTGTGTTTGCCACCTCTGCTTTGAATCCTTTCAAGTCACATTTCCAGTGCTTTGTTTCCTTGCCCAGTAAATCTCAAACCATTGTCGAATTCAAATATTTGTCTGTTCTATACCTGAATTTGGTTCCACACCTATATATTAGTAAATAAAAATTTTAGAAAATAAAGTTACAAAAACCATGCTGACTTTATCATTATTACTTTAAATCTGAAATTGGCATGTATATAGATTATATCTATTGGTGGGTACCAACAATTTCTCCTATCTCTCTACCATGTATTCTTCTCTTCCCTTCAAGAGGTAGAGTTTATTTCCCTTCTTATTGAATCCTGGCTCTGGGCTGGTCTTGTGCTAAACTTAACTGATAGAGTGTGTGATAGAAGTGTTTTGGTAGCAATTTGTAATCTAGTCTCTAGGAGGGTCCCAAACAGGCCAAAAAGCAGAGTGGGATATAGTGAGTAGCTGTAGTAGCCTGGTAGAAAGGAAGGTTTCTTGGAAAGGAAGACTTCATCTAAGGATAGAATTAACTTGTAAATTAAATTGGAAATGAGGTATGGAGGATGGTGCCTAGTAAGAATGAATATGCCCATTTTTAATAAAACAAGTTTGGTCAAATTTTTTAAAATTTCTATTTTTGACACTATTATAGCTATCCTTATTCACCCCTCATGCTTTGCCCACCTCCAGCCAGAACTTTGGTCAATTTTTTCCATTAAAAATGTTCCAAAATCCATGGAACTTTGAGGTTTGAAATGAGGGCTTACAGGCCAGGATAAAGTATTTGCATTCTGATGACTATACCAATGACTGGAGCCATCCTAAAAACAAGAGATAAGAACCCAACTTCTAACTACATGGCAAAGATGGTTAACTAATGAGATCTTTCCCTATACAAAGAGTGTAACAAAAGATAAAATCTAGTTTAGAATGCTCAGATGTCTAGTTCTATATAATTGTTTCCCCCTTCCCATTTGCTGAAATATTTACAAGTTTTGAGGATATGACCCAATACTTCATTTGGTAATGAAGAACAAATTATTATTAAACAACAATAATTAATATTGACATTTATCATTTCAAAAAAGGGATATCACATATTGGAGATCCCAGTACCCCAAATCCAAAAATAAACCTGAACAAAAATTTGACTCTATGCATATCATAAGTACATGTTGAATGAGTGATTTAGTAAATATATAGTTTAGTAGCAGACAAAGGGCAGCTCTAAACAGGTATGAAGCTGATGTCTTTCTATGAGTGGTTTTGTATTACTAGAACAAAAAGGTGGGAAACCAGGAAGTGGTGACCTGGAGTCGGAAGTCGGGGTAGGATTATTAATACCTTTCATCCAGTTCCTTCATTACCAGATTTTTACTTAGAAAGTTAGTATGCGAGTTGTATATCTTCTCTTTGTACAGCAAAACCAGTCACGTAAAAAACATGCTTGCATTTGAAGTTTAATATTTCTACTTAAATTCATTAGCAAAACCTGCCTTCTCCTTGAGAATGTAGCCTCCTTCTGCTATAATCAGAAGTCAATTCAAGCATAATCCTGTCTTTTCTGTTCCTAACAGCTTGATTAAAGAGGCATATGGACACTTATTCAACACAATGTGGTGCATGTAGTCTTAACAGTTTGCATTGAATTTTTCTTCCTTCCCACTTATCATGTCCTCTCTGAAGCTTGTCCCACCTATTTGCCCTGCCAAGAATTAGTCTTATCCTCCTTAATTTCTGCTTTAAATTTTGTATATTCTTTATTATCCATATGTATATGGACAATATATATTATATTATCCACTGTCCACTGTAACAGAGTTTCTTTGAGTAGTATGAGCATGTTTTATTCATTGCTGGATCTGCCATACTCAGCACACCAGAGGGGGTACTCCATTTCATGTTGAAATCAGCCTACTGAAGATCCAAGTGGTTTGGCTTAAAAAC